CGCCGCCGTCGAACAGCCTAAGCCACCTGCTTTGCTACTGTTGCTTTGATGTTAATTGGTGGGGAATGGGGATCCCCGCGGGGATCCCCATTCCCCGTGGAAAACAAAGATGGGGGGTAAAATCTACCCCCGTCAAAAATCTCCGCAGGGATCCTGTCCCCGTGATTCGCGAGAACGGGGATGGAGAAGGGGTCCCCGGCCCCACGGGACCCGTTGACATCCCTACTGGGCAGCTTAACTTAAGCATTGAAAAGTCAACTTTTGGGCACAAAAATCTATGCAAAATATGCTTGGTCATTAAAATTTTGAAAGTGGTTATAATTGCTTTATTTAAAGAACAAAAAACTCTATTTCATAATAATTATATACGGATATGGAAAGGTAATCTTCTCAAAATAGTTTAAAGAAAAATTTCAAGTACTGTTTAAAAATATTTTTTTAAAGAAATTCTTCCCACTTTTTTTTTGGTTGCTTGATACATAAAGATTAAAAATTAAAATTAAAATTTATAATTAAAAATACATATAATTTTATTATCAGACTATATAATTAATAATCTAACACTATGATTTAATGATCATAATATACGTGTTATAACATATAAGTCCTGAATTCTACACCAGGTAGTACTCCCATCCCCACAATTCCCTTTAGTTTTTTTTTTAAAAAAACTATATAATTAATAATATTATTTTTATCGGATTATAAGCAAATATATTCAGTCTTTTCTTTTGTCAATAGTTGGAATACTCCCTCCATTTTTGTGTCAGAATCTAAATTTTCTTAGCAAGTGGAGCTGTTTTTTAGGTGGACGCTGCCTCAGAAACACTTTTTTGGACTGTGGAAAACAAACATACCCCACAGAAAATGATGGAATGCCCAAAAATTCATTCTCAAAATATAATGATAGGACCATATCCATTTCTAAACCAAAAAAATAAGTATAAATTTATTCATAAAATTTTTAATTTTGATAAATTACTTTAAATTTAATGTGTGATATTATTTGATATTAATTACAATTAATTTAACATTATTTGATGTCAATAATTTATTAATTTGACATCATTTAACATCAATAATATGTTATTAATGACATAACAAATTAGTAAATTAATTACGTTAAATGACATCACATATTAAATTTGAGGTGATTTATTTAAATTAAAAGTTTTATAGGTGAATTTGTCTTTGTTTTCTGTTTATGGTAGATCAATTCTTACTGCTATATTTTAGAAGTGGATTGGATGTTTTACAACAGAAAATCTTAGGTTTTGATTTAAAAGGGAATATTCCAGGGTTTTTAATCCAAAGGCATTTCCAGGCTTAATAATTGTTTATATTGCTTTATAACTAGCTATATTTGCATTTTACACATTTTAGAACTAATTACATTCCTCACCCCAATTTTCGTGCTTGGGAATGTGATTCGCTGAACCAAGCTGACTAGAAAAAATAGTTAGCTTCTTCGTAATTGTCTTCTGGGAAGCCGAAACCAAACAACGCACTTAACAAAGTGTGTATTATTAAAAATTGTATTAAAAAAATTAAAGATTGTGAAAATATTGTACTTATAAACGCTATTAACTTTGGTGAGGTTATCGAAATTGTTAGAATTTTTATTTTAATTTAATTATTAAAAATAATTAATAATAAATAAAATTATAAATAATCAAAACAATTAATATTTATTTTTTTATCTTAATTATATAATAAAAAATAATAATCTCTTATTTTTTATTAATCTCATTCATATATTATATGATTTAAATTTAAAATTTTTAATATTTTATAAAAAAATTACTATTAAATTATTTAATTTATTAACATTAATATTTATTATTAATGACCATAAACTCAGCTTTGTGAAAAGAACGGAAAGTTTTTCATGGCCAAACGCAACCTAACGGAACCTTTGATTACAGGTCCGGGTCGAACTCAGGTAACGGATCAGAAACCGGATAACCTGAAACCTAGTTGCCTTCCAGAGTTGTAGTCGGGCTGTAGAATACAGTAGGGGTCGTTTCCATTCCCAGAAATTCTGCTCAGGAATGGCTGCAGAAGAAGAAGGAAGAGATCAGGGAATGATGCCATGGGAGCAGCACGCCAAGGTCATAAGCATTCCTCGCTTCGATTACAATGCTCCTTCTTCTCTCCTGCAACGCTCCCACTCTGGCTTCCTCATTACTTCTACCATCAGTGAGAAACCGTCCCTCTTTCCTCTTCTTTCCGTTCATTTTCCTCTTTTTCATTGCGAAAGTTATCTCTTTGAAGTTCTTAATGGCGATGGATTGAGTGTTAGTAGTTTTTCTTTTTCTTTCATTTTTTCCCTCAGAGAGGGAGAAAAGCGCTACAAAAGAAGCTATCTCAATCCTTGAAAAGGTAATGAAATTGATCCTGTTTTCTTTATTTGGTGCTATTTCAGATTTCAGTTTTGGCTTTTTCCATTTGTGTTGATTCATTTTTCAAACACAGAAGAAAAAGCATTTTGTAGCATATTTTCTAGTATTACTGAAATCTCATGTAGTATTGATTGACATAATGGCCTTACATGTTGCACTGATTATTGAAGTAAGAAGTTACAATTGCCTACTATTAGGTATAGCATAATGGTTATTGAAAGTTCATCTAGCAATAGTGTTTTATTGCAGTATTGGTAAAGGAAACATGGACAGAAAAATGGACTTAGATATAGACCTCTGTGAAATTGCAGGCCTCAGTAATTTCAGAGTTCTTTATTCTGTCCTGATATGGAACACTGGCTAATTGGGTCTGCATGTCTTGAGTGAGCTAGGGATATTTATTGGGTCTGCAGCTCCGCAATTTAACACTAGTTGTGATTCCATTTATGGAATATCTAGGGATTTCTCTTTCTTGGAGGAACCTAGGTTTGGTGCATATGCTTTGACTTCATGTGGGGGAGGGTGGTGCAAGGAACAGGGCCGGAACAGAGAAAAAATTGGGTCTGCAGCTCTGGAGTGAGCTAGTAAGAGTTTCCTTGGATTGGGTTGAAAACATAGAGGAATGCTATTCATGAATTCACTTCTCTGTTGACTGTCATTGTCTGGATGATCAATGTAGAGAAGACAATGAATTTCTTTATAGTTTGAGCTATAGCAGGAAGTGGGAATTGCCTATTCTTAATGGTTTTTTTCTATTTTTTTCTCCATGAAATGCACACATAAGCCTTATTGAAATATGGTCTCCCTGAGGAGTGGAGCATTGCTTCTCTTGTCTATCTTAATATGTTTGAATAAGAAAATATGTATATCTTCCCAATTAACTGTCCTTCCCCGATTTAAAAGGAAATCCAACCAACAAAACAAGATAACGTTAAACACAAAGTCCTTTGACCAATGACTACTAAACCAAAATAAATTTTTACCTGCATATTGATTCTTCTGATGTTCCATCTGTGTTGACCTTTGGCATTGAAGATATTTTTTTAAATGGGGAGAGTTTTGATATTAATCATGTACCATTTGTGAATTTTTGCAGTATATTCGGTCCTCCAACAGTGGGATCTCAAAATGTGAAGAAAGTCCTCATACAAATGCTGAGACTAAGAGAAGGAAACTATGCACAGAAGAAAATGATGGGAAAGTTTCCAATGTCATTGAAAGTAAGGACACCACCAAGGATGCAGGTAGCAATTTTCTTAGTCCATAAAAGCTATGAACTTTTACTCACTTGGAAGCTGGAATTTTGCTTTGATCCTGCTTCCATATTTTCTAAGATATACTACTTCGTGGTAGGTGGACTTTCAAAAGATGAATGTGCATCCCCCACCAAGACTGATAGAAATGTAGCATCAGACTGTGCTCTTTCACTAGTCAAGCTGACTAGGAGTGGTTTGCTTCTCCTTACCTTTCCTGAAGAAAATTCTCCCAATACTGCTGCTGTTCTCTCAGATATTTTTCAAGCTCTGGAATCTGGGAGTTTAAAGTCACCACTGTAAGTTGTTTACATGTCCTTATTAACTTTTCATCTGGAAATACATGATATGCACTTGTTTAATATTTGTACTCATTTGGTTCCATGTGAAGAATCTTCATAACTCATAAGAATTGTTTATTGTTTCATGTTCTCTTATCAAGACACTGCATTATGCAAGATACATGTGAAACTTTTATTATTAAGTGAACTATTTCTTTTTTGCTTAATTACTACCTGTAACCATCAAGAAATCTTAAGATTAGTTATATTAACAATATAATCATCATAATAGTTTCTCCAGTGCCTTTAAATCATCTGAGAAAAGGATTTTTTTTTTTTTTGGGGGGGGGGGGGGGAATCTTCATCTTTGTTGTTCTATCTAATGTTTGGAATGATGATAATAGCAGGATACTTTGCATGTAAAAAACTACTGCTAATAACAAAAAGCACTAGGCTGGGGCAGCATTACTAAAGCTTCACCAATGAGCCTGTCTTGCAAAGAATTATTCTCTCATTATTTGGTTCTCTTCGTATCACATGTCTTCTTTTGAACCAATAAATGTTTGAGATGGAGATACTGCCCTGCCCTCTAGTACACAAGCTAGTCTAGAAATCATTCTTTTCCATGGGAAGAATAAATTATAAAAAAAAAAAAATGGAGGAAAATCTTTAGAAAAGTACCCTTGTGCTCTTGGTAAAGTCACAGGAAAGAATCACTCAACTTTAAATCTCAATTCAGGATGTGAAAATTCTAGGTTAGTTGAAGCCTGTACCGTGCAAAAAGTATGCGTGCATTTCCCCTAGCTTGCTATAAAACATGGAGGACTTGTGTAAAAAACTGGTTCCTACTTATATATTATTACTAAAACTTGAAGGTTGGGTGATTTAGAGCCAAGACATCTCTTTGTTTTGCCCTTGAGAAACTTATACTTTATTGAAGAATGTTTCTACATTCTCATGCTTAAGCTTCAGTATTAGGGAAGAAGAATCATGGGTATTGTGGCTTCCCTTGTAGCGTAGAGAAGTTTTTAGGAGATTGAACTTTTGTTGGAGTGGACATCTAAAATGCTTTCTAAGGTGGAAGCCTTTACTTCAGATCTTAAAGTTTTGAAAGTAGTGTGCAGAATACCAAAAGTTGTGGGAAGTATTGGGAAGTACTAAACCTCTTTGTCATTTTGAAATAATGAATTTGAAGTCTTACAGTGTTTACTGAATCAGCAATATTCTCTAAGATGTGAAGCTGTTGGTGGATGATGTTCCAAAATCTCCATAAGTTTTATTTCAGTTGCTTTTCCCATTTGAGCTGTTCTGCATACTTATTTTTCCATTAAAGGGTGCATGCTTCTCTTACCTTCAGCAGCACATTTCTGCTTGTTTTATTTGATGAATGTGACATACTAAGATGCCAATTTGTATTATGAGACTTCTTGATCTTCAGTAGATCTGAACTCTTATATTACTTCCCACATATAATATGCTGATTTAGTCTTTCTTTTTAAGAGAAGGCTAAGTTATTATATGGAGAATCTGATCATTATCATGTGTCCTGAAGTTTGGCTAACATGTCATTTCATTGGTGTAGTTGGTGTCATCGCATCTTCCCTATCCAAGCTACTTGTAATTTGAATGAGAGGGAACTAAAAGCAGTTATCTCAAAGCTTGTTCTTCAATTTGTAAATGATAAACAGAACAAACTTGCCCGTCCTGTAAAGGTAAATGTTTCTTCTGTAGTTTCTGGTTATGATTTAGACATGCTGTAAATTTGCTTGAGAGGTTGAGAATACATGGAGATAGTCTTTACAATGGCTAAAACTAACTGTTAAACGTGCCCTGTGATACATTTTGTGCAAGTTATAAGCTTCTCTTTTCACCCATATGTCTAGGTTTTAGACGTTCTTTTTGGATAAAATGTGAAATCTTGTTTATCCAGTAACTGCTATGTACAAAAAAGCAGCAATTTGCTGCTACAACCAATCAACAAAAACCATCAGTGAATATCTACTATGCTTAGTCTTTCACAGCAGCTTCAATCCCCCATTTTACTGCAATGGCCATGGATAAGGGGGAAGATTTAGGCTTAGAAAAAACCTAAGATAGTATTTCTAACATCAAATTGAACATCTTGAACAAGCATTGTCACAGACTGGTACCTCAGTTGGTGAACTCTTCTCTCTCTCCCTCCAGACATGGTAGACTGCAGCATTTCATGCCAGCTTTATGTGAACCTTGCGCAGGGACTCCCTTCTGATCTTTCCTGTCTATGCTAACAATCCCTGCCAAGTGTCAGTGAATGGGAATCTCTGCCATTTCTCACAGCTTTTGCCAAACCTGTTTTGTGAAACTACATCCGAAAAAGAGATTCAGAATTTCAGAATAGACGAACACATCTTCTGCCTGGCTCTTGTAAATGAGTGCCAACCACCTGATGAAGCTGTGCTTAGGAATAGTTTGGGAAAACCATATCAATCTATGCCATGAAACTTTGACACATTTGTGTTATGATGTGTAAGCACAGTATTTCTTGGCTTATGATGTGTTATCTTCTTGCGCACTTTTGACACATTTGTGTCCTTTAACATATATGGGAGGGATTGGGAGCATTTGTGCAAGCGCCCTTAATTGAACTGCAGTTTATAATGAAACCTCTGTTACTGAGGTTTATCTTTGTTTTTTCAAGCCCTGGATTATGCAAAATGAAATTAACTTTTGAAAATTGTTCTAGTGTTCTTTCCTTTTGCGTGGTGCTTGGACAGCTCTTGCATGTATTTTATGCAGGCATTTATTCTTGTCAATGTGTCTATGCATGCATGCAGGCATGCATGTATGCATGTATGCCTTCGTGTACCATCATGTTTGTGCTTGAAATTTTTTGTATGTCTGCAACACAATCTGTCTTGTTTAGTCAGATTTGATTTTTTTTTTGTATCATTACTCGTAGTTTGCAGTTGCATTTAACAGAAGAGGAATTGAATCAACTGAAGCAAAGCTAAAGAATTCTGATCAATTCGATTTATTGGACCGGATGAAATGCTTTGACGTTGTGGCAGCTGCAGTTAAAGAAGTTGTATCAGATTCAGCTGTTGACCTAAAATCTCCAGAGGTAAAAAATAGTTGGAACCAGTTCGCACTTAGTTCAAAATTTCCATTCTTATGCCATGCCCGTCTGACAGCAAAGACATGTTACAGCTTTCCGTTCTCGTTGAGTTGCTACCTCTTTCTGGAGTGCCCAATGGATCGCTAGTGGTCGCTGTTTCTGTTCTGCCACAAAACCTTGTTAGTACTAAGCCACGGCTCTGCATTAAGCCACTAGTTTCAGAGAGCAACACGAGGAAGGCAAGAAGTTAAGGGCGTATATCTTCCATGTATATTTTGCATATAATGAAGAGGATGTCAATGTTCTTCTGAGGGCCATGTCGGCCTGAGTTGACCTTTCCCTGATTATTGTTAGGGTAACAGATAGGCCTTCATGCTTGAACAGGGGTGATTAATGGAACTACATGGATCTTCTTCCAAGGAGCAAGCCTCAACCCTCAAATAGCAGGGTTATGGAAGTCTAGTAGCGTTTAAAGCCCCCATTATGCTCTGGTGTTTGGGTTGCCATGGAAGGCATGACTTGGCTAGTTGGTTTTTCAGGTTCTCGCATCCTCTGAAGCCCATTGATTACTTATGTTGTTTCACTAATATATCACTATTTAAACTCTATGAAATGGGTGATCAAACACTATTTAGGAAAAGATCTCTGTTAGACGAGTTAAAGCTGAGTCAAACACAATTCTCTGAAAAGGTCCTTGTTTTTTTCTAAAAGCAGTTCTTGGTTTCTAAAGTGGTTAATAGTTCGTATTTTGTTTCCGAAGTACTTCTTTTACCGTTTAGCTTTTGGATTTTTTTTTTCAAATTAATTCTTGTTCCAAGTATTTTATGTGAATTCATAATTGAGTCTTTATGCAAAAGATTTGTTCAAAATAAAAGCTATAATTAGGTCAAAAGGTAATGGAATTTGTTTATGAGGTGAGATTCTTGGGCACTTGCTAGAGTGGTGCCAAATGGATGCCTACTCTGAATAATAGCTTAGGGTCGGCACTGAGAAGATGTATTATCCAGGAAATGGGCATTTGAACGAGTTTTTGTAGATGAATTTAAGCTTTTGCAGTGATTGCAGTTGTATCAGAAGATGGGGAATTAAATGCAGTGGGGGCCTGTACTAGCATCGACACCAGCTCTATAGCTTGTGGGAAATGAAATGAAATGAAAAGAGTTTTAAAGCTGGACCTAATATCCTGCCAATGTTTGCTCCATCACCCACAACCTACTGGACTAGTGTCTCATTGGCAAAGTATTCTCATTAATAAGCTAACAGGAAGGATGTTGGACAACCGACTGTCCAAACCAATATTTCAAGGGTAAAACACTCCATAGAAGGAGCCTAGCGTTCTCATCCCCGTGCCCACCTTAACGAAAGGAAAATGTTTTTTTGATGATGGAGTTATATGACATGGGTTAACTTGCTCCCTTTCGAGATCCTTTCCATCTGTTCCAAGTGCTTGTTTAGGATTTTAGATGGGAGAGGGGGAGAAAATTTTGTCTAATCAAATTTTATTTCTTTTAAACCAAATAAATTAATCTTAAAATTTTACAATTTATAGTGTAAATAATTCTAAAATCTGAATTTAAGATTTTTTACATAAAATACATTAAAAAAAAATATCTTTCCTTCTCAAATCTTTTCTCATACATTTCAAGATTCAAATTTTATATTTTTGTCATAAAGACTTGATTTCTTAACCACTCAGTTTATAAGACTCCTAACAAAGGAAAATAAATAACACTAAATAAAGATAATTACCATTTTAAAGATGATAAAAAACATACACACATATTATACACTTGAAGTTAAGTACATCGTGCTACTTAAGGCGTCCCTTTTGTAGCATGGTTGCCCTATGCAACCAATTTCATTCTTGGTGCCCTTAGAGATTCTTTTAATTGTAAGAATTTGACATTTAAGCTAAAGATTTTGGAGAAAGAAAATGTTATTTTTTATATATGGTTAAGCGATGAACATAATAAAAAGGTTAAAATGCTAGATGTTATCCACAAACTTTGAGATTTGTACGAAAATAGTCCTTAAACATTATAAAGTACCAAGGCGATCCTTATACGTTTAATGCCAGCAGCTTTTTGATCTTTTTGTTAACTTTTCGTTAACAAACATTAGCTTTTCGTTAAATTACATTGACATGGCCAGTTAAGTTTGTGACGTGGCTTTTTTTCCCCCTTATGTATCATCTTTAAAAACTCAAAATGATTTTTGGGTAACTTTTTATTTTTTATTTTTTGCATAAGTGGACAGTTTTGTCCACATTACAATTCTCACATGGAACCCATTTTTTTATAAAATTTTATTTACTTCTTCCGGTTTAATTTAATTGTTTTACTTTATTTATTTATAATTATTAGAAAATTCATTGATTACAATAAGTAGAACTTAATTTTCTATTTTTACTCTTACTTATAATTATACAGAAAAAAGTCATGACACATTTTTATCTCTTTTAAGATAAAAGTAAAATTAAAATATTAGTATTTAATGTTTTATTAAAATAAAAAATGAAACAACTAAGTGTTACATTACCTTAATTTGGTGAAATTTTATATTTTATCCATTTTGTTTATTATTTGATTTTACTAATTTTTCTGTTTGTGATTTTGCATTCAGATCCAACTTGTGATGACATGGAGTAGATTAATACACTTTGTTTAGACATGGAGTAGATTTGGAATAACCTAAAAAGACTTGAAAATAAAATTTGAAGAGATAGTTGAATGCTTAAATTAATAACAATCTGTTTAAGTATGCCCAAAATAGTAGGAAAAAGAACAGGATATATGAATGTACCTTGAAAATAGTGGAGTTGGGGTATTATAGGCCAAAAAAGGTCAAGTCCACAAGGTACATCTATAGCCGATGCATTTGAGCAATTGTGGTATGTGCTGCTAGATGGAGACCCATGTGGAGGCATCTAGCTGTCATTAGGCATAACCTCATCTAAGTGTCATAATATTGAACATATGGACTTTGTTCGAAGGAGCTAAACTTGGAGTAATTCAAACAATTCGTCATAAGGGCAACAGGACAAGCTGATGATGACGTGGCATGGATCGTTTGAACATATCTTTATGAAACTCAATTCAGACTTTGATTAAAAAAAAAAAAAAAAACCCACCTCTCATACTCCTACTCCTACCTAATTTAGGTATTTGTTCAATAATTACATTTCTTTCAATCTTTTGATAACAAGCAAAAGCCCATATCTCAATTGGGTTGAGGATCTATATTCAAACATAAAAATAAAGAAACTTATGGGAGAGGAAAGGTAAGGAAGGTAGGAAAGTTAGAATCTAAGAATGGAGAAAGGGAGAATACCATCAAGGAAGAAGATATTTGGTTTTAATGGGTTGTTATATAAATTTGCGTAATATTTTAAATAAATAATTAAAACTTTCAACTAATATTCATGTCATTATTATTTTAAATGGAATGGATTATGTATTGGTCGGTCTAACTTAAATAAATAAATAAATAAATTTTAAAAAGATTATTTTAACCTGTGCCATAAGAATAAAGAATAAAAGCATTTTTTCATTATAGATATATATAGAAAATTATAAAAATTGATATTAATTTTCATGTCAATATTAAGTAGGTGAATTTAATTAAACCGTTGATAAATTATATATTAATTTTTATTTTTTAATATAAATGTATAATAAAAAAATATATTTAATATACTTTTAATTTTAATACGTGCTCTAAAAGCACATGTTAAATAAATTCTTTTTAAAATTACATATAATATTTGAGAAAGGAGTTTGATCTTTCTCACTACTTGACGTGCCACGTTTAGCTCTGTTAACAAAAAGTTAACAGAGGGACCAATAAGGTATTGTAATTAAGTTTCAAGATTGTTTTAATACTTTTTAAAGATTATGGATCATTATGGTCAAATCTCGAAGTTTAGAGAGAATTTTAATCTTTTAACCTAGTAAAAAATCAACATTCCAATGTGCTTCCAATGGAGCGCTATAGATCCATGTTTTAGAACCCAACCGGTAATCGATCCGTTTTTAATATTGGATTTAGTTCAATTGAATTTAATCAGTTAGTTTGATTAATTAGCTAAAAAATTTACTTTTTTA